CTTAATGAAAAGTATGTTCATTACCTGCTGACAGGTTTCTGTTTATAAAAAGCTACTTTTAGTCTCATCAGAAAAAACAACAATTTTAGGTTGTATTTCACAACCTGAAACTAAAACATAAAATGGTGGTTGTTTCACAAAACGACATATTTCTTACAGTAGCTATTCATCCGAAATATATTATAAGTTGTCTTTTTCTTTTTTTTTAAAGGTCAAGCAACACTTGCGACTCTAAACGAGCGTAATTTAGGTGGACTGAGAGCGAAGTTGGCTCTTGGAGTTGTAAAGGTTGCAGTTGCTCTACAACATTTGCGAAGCGGCAGCAAACGTCCCATCAGTTTGGATATTAATACCAATCTGGACAAGGTTTCTGGAAACAGATGAAAAAGCACACTGAGCCCTCATTTTTCATGCCTGCAGGTATTTTTAACACTTTTTGTTTCATTACAAGCCATAATCATTAAACTGAAAGCTGGCTGATCCAAATTAATGGGACTTTACTAAATGTCAGAGAAAAGAGGATTTCATTACCGAAGAACTGACATGTTCGTGCAAATCCTGTTCCAGACACTCCGGCGGTGCGGCGCAGATGTTTTGATACCACTTGAAACTGTTTTTTCATAAACTTAGAGGGATTTTTTTGTTTGTGTGATAAGTCGACTTGCAGCATAAATCTGACATAGTAAAAAACAATAAACGAAAAGTTACAATTTTCTTTCATAAAATAGATCTAGCTGTATCAGACTGGATGAAAGTATCAAATGTTGCACTCGAGCAGCTTTACAATTTCTAGCTTTTTGGTGTTGGATTATCACGTAACAAAGGGGTGTCCAAAGTGTGGCCCAGGGGCCATTTGTGGCCTTTGAAATGACTTTGATCGGCCCCGACGACCACAAGTCAAGAAGGGAAAAAGACAAAAGAAAACAAAACGATGGTCCCAAAAATGTGGAAATTGTCTGTTTTTTCTTGTAATAAGATAAGCAGTAGGAAGGCTTTGTTCTGTTTTTTATCTTTAAGGATTTATATTTCATTTAAAAATGTGTTCATTTTTGAGACAAATCAAAATAAACTCATTTTTGTAAGCCACCAAATGAATGAATTTTGACATAACACTTCAGTAAACGATGAAAGTTTGAGGTCGCAGTGCAAAGTTTTTATTCATCCTATCTTTGTTCACCTATTTGTTTCCTTTTCTGTTTTCTGTGCAACACAGATGGAAAACTATCTCATCAGCTGTTCCAACAACACAATCAAACCCCGTCGAACCTTTTAATTTTTGAAGCAACTCTTCAGCAAATAAATACGGCACCAAGAATGCCGTCCCTGTTCTGAGTCGCTTCCAGAAAAAATGATTTAGGATAAAATACAAAATGTTCACAACATTGCGCCACGTTTGAATAAATCACATTAAAATGTCAAACTGCAGCAGCAGCAGCAGTTGTGTTCCCACCAATTTACAGGCTGTAAAATCGTTTGCTGCACTGCACTAAGGAGCTCGTCGTTCATCATCGTACAGAAGGATTCAAAACTTCCCACGTTTTCTCATATTGCAAAAATAAGGAACACGACACGTGTCGTTTACCTTTAGGCGCTTCTGATCCGAGAAGCTACCAAGACGGACAACCAACATGTGGGAGAAGGCGCTCTGGTCACATGAGACCAAACTTAAACTTTACATGCAAAACACTTGTGTGGTGGAAAACAAACACTCCACATCACCCCGAACAGATGAACAGAGACAGATGCCACAATGAAACACGGCGTCCCGTCCGTTCAGGACGTTGTGAAGTTCTTTGGGGGGGATTGTTGCAGCCTAAAATGGCACTTTTTTCAAAAAGTTGAGACTTTTCTGATGGTTTACTTTTCCCATAAAAAAACATCCCCCAAAAGGACTGGATTTATAACTCAAGTCGCTTCTTGAAACAGCAAACTTAATACAAATAAAACCATGTCCCGCGGAGTCATCAAAGTGCGAAATAAGAACTCCATATTGGTCATTAAAGTCAACTTGAACTGTTTACGCAGTAGAAACAAAACCTACAGAACATCTCAAAATGTTTTTTCCAAAAACAAACCAACAAAAAGAAAAAAAGAAAGGCAAGTGCAATTGTTGCCTTTCTGGAAGATGACATCTTATCATCTTCCAGGTTCGGCTTTCAAGAAACAAAGAGAAACCTTAAGTTAAATCAGAAGGAGGCTAAGATTGGTCAAAATTCAGCCGAGTTGCAGTGATTGGTCAGAAAAGAAGGAAATACAAACAAACAAAAACAAAACAAAAACAAAAACAAAAAAACGTTAAGGTGATTGGTCAGATTTGGTCCAAAGTTGCGATGACTGGTGAAAACTGCAAGTTTGTACAAAGTGAATTTGCAAAAATATAATAATAATAATAATAATAATAATAATAATAATAATAAATCAAACTCACAATGCTTTCAAAGAGACTCAAAGACTTTACAACGGGGGAAAAAATTATACAGTTGCAATCGCAACACGCCAACAAAGATGAAGATGAACAAAGTTAAAGACAGGATTTACAAGTGTACTGATCCTACAAATAGCCATGGTCAGAACGTGTGTTAGAATGGCCCAGTCAAAGTAAAGATGTCGGATACAATCAAGAATCTGTGACAAGACATGAGACCTGATGTCAATATATGCTCCTCATCCAGTCTGACTGAACGTGAGCTACTTTATGAAGAAGAATGAGGTGAAAGGTCAAAATGGAGGAGTAAAAAGACTCGAAGCCGATGGTTTAACAAAGCGTTCCCTCAGGGGGGGCTGCGTTAAAAAAAGAACAATTAATAAATTACTATCACTCACTGTTTTGTGTCGCTCTAGTGCAGGAGCGTCGAACTCATTTCCATCAAAAATCTGAATGTTCTTAAAGGGCCGGCTGTGCCCGGATGTATTGAAGGAACCAAACAAATACCTCCAAGAGTTTGAGATTGTTTTAGTGGTTTTTCTGCAGTCAAAATGACAGATTTTGTGGTGCCAACTTAGAAATGTTTGTAAGGAATCTTTGTGATATTTGTGCTAGTGTATGATGTTAAATGTGACTTTTTATTATGGACTTGACATCAAGAAAGGCTGAGGCAACAGTCACTTAAGCTCCATGTTTCAGACTGATCTTGAGAAAACTTGCAGTAAAATCAGAAAAAAATGTGGAGATTTGTTCATTTCGTGTGAATTTTGCACATTTGTGGAAAAACTGGAGGGACTTATTGGTGTAATTTGGAGTCTAGAGGGCCACGTGAAAAGCTGCGGTGGGAAAAATGTGGCACCCCGGGCCTTGAGTTTGACACCTGCGCTCTAGTGCCTAGAAACTGAAAACAGCCATAAGCGTCACCCTGACACGATCCAAACTGAACAGTTTTGCAGGAAAAGACCTTAAACACCAGTGAAGCCAGTTTGACTGAGGATCAAAGTGTTGTTGTGCCACTGGGTCAACAAGCTGGGATCCTGTTGTCTGCACTCTGACAGACAGAACTCAATACGAGGCCGCAGCCTTTTGGGAAAAGACAACGACAGGGACAACTTCTCACTGTTTGCTGCCTAACAGAAGCAGCCTGGTGGATGAAATGAGAGCGAGAGCCGACAGGTCTTTAAGTTACAGAGGCATTTCATCTGCTCATCCAGTCTGCTGAATAATATCACAGCCACGCTGTTCCTGGAAATGAATTGGTCTCGTTTCAGCCATTGAAGGCATTAAATTAAGAGGATAAAGGGGGGCTGGGGGGGAGGCAAGAAGAGGGAGTCATCACTTTAGAAAAAAATTAAATAATAATAATTTAAAAAAAACACCCAAATTCCCACATTAATTAAGGCTTCTTTTTTTTCTTAAGTCAGACAGAAGGAGGTCGTTCTGACCTTGACTAATAATGTTTTGACTCTGATTTTAAGGCTGTAGATGGAGTTTAATTATGTGAGTGTAAGGTTATTTAAAGCTATAACAAGCTCGTCAACGATCTAATGCAATAAACGCATCATTAGTTGAATTATTTATGTCCCATTCCAGGATTCAGATGGTTTCAACAGGCAAATCGAAAATATAAGATCAGAGAACATTGTTAATATGTTTACAAACTATAAACAAGTTACGATGCGGGTTACTTTGCTTTATGATGACAGAAAAGAACATGAATGAAAAGTTCTACTTGTATAGTAACCTAATTTTTCACAATGAACTTCTCAAGTATGTTGAGAAATATGATCAGAAGCACAACTTTGATCAAGAAAACAAAACTTGCCATTTTATTAGATATGCCCGATTTGAGAAGCAAATCACGGTGCGGCAGGTGAATCGATCATATCTGCTCATCATTTTACCGATTTCTCTTTTATCGCCTCAGTTTTGCTGTGACAACCCGCAGAAGCTTCTCTTAGCCATAGGTTTGAGCAGAAAGTTTTCATGCATGAATACATAAACAAAGATAATCGGAGAGCTGTTGTTTCCAGCACCTCAGCTGTGAATCTGTGACGAGATCTGAGGCATGCAGTAAAAACCGCAGGAGGTTAAAACAAGAAGACCATGTGGGAAGCATTTTGTTAACAACTGGTGCAACTACTTCATAACGAAAACATTCGGAGCTTTAATTTGGCATTTTGGTTCGTGTGAATGTAAACTGCATCAAAACTGGAGCAGTAAAACTCGCAGTAGTATGCATGATTTTCCAACAGGCTGACCATGACGCCTGCAGAATTCCCCACCTATGAATCCATACAGCTGCACTGTGGAGTTTTCTGCCACCGCACAGCGGGATTCACGCCTTTTCTCTGCACACGCCTCAGCTCGGTGCTGCAGACAGCTGAGGAGGGCCTGCATGGGCATCCAGTGGGCACGATGAGACAGCAGGGTCACTGCGGCTGCAGCGTTAGCGCGCTCACTAATGACACAGCCTGCGCTGCAAACAGGAGCTTTAAACTTTAAACACACACACACACACGGACACGAACAGACACATCAAGGACAGAACCGTGGCATGCATGCAGCGCCTTACCTCGGGATACAGTTCGGGGAAGATCCGTCTATCTCCCACGTTGCGAACAGGTTCATGGGCACCGGTCGGTTGAGAGCCCCGCTCCCGGGGAAACTCAGCCGGCCGCTCCTCTCCGCCATGGTTGTCGGCACGAGCGGATGGGACAGTCCTGACACCGAGCTGGTCGGTTGGTAAACAGCAGACCGGCGCGCTGGTCGTCTGTCTGCGTGTGTGTGTATGTGTGTGTGCGTGAAGTGATAATGTGTGTGTTTCCGCGAAGAAACTGTCGTCACGCGCTCACGTAAATAACGTGTGGTCGACGGACGCCGAACTCATTTCTCTGACGGAGCGGAGCCAGGCGGGTCGGCGGGGGGTCCTCTGTAGCCGGGGAGGGACTAAGGCGGCGGGATTGAGCAGCTCGACCGCTGAGCTTGTTGTGCCCGGCACGCTGTCCTGGGTATGACGGGTGGCTCGTGCGCAGCGGTGGTGGGAGAGGCTTAGCTCGAGACTGTCACCGCAATGTGAGGAAGAAAACCTGGTCTGCTGTCCCACACTTCAAAATAAATTGCCTGCTGGATGTTAAAACCGAACATATTTCATACAGAATTGCACTGTATGAAATGTGGATGACTAATAAAGTGGTGCTGACATTTTTAGAGGGATCTTTATAACTACACAGCCTAATAAATAGGAGTGCAAACAGCACTTGATTTGGGCAATATGGCTGGCTGCCCAGGGTGGCACAACTTAATGGGCGCCGCAAAGTGGAAATAACTTATCTTCTGTAGCTCAAAAGGTTATTTGTATGTTCAATTAGAGGAAATTGCTGTCTAATACTGTACAAAAAAGAGAGCAGCACAAGGGTCTCTTTCACTATATTTTATACATGTGATATGACAACCATATTGGAAAAAGGTTGGGGTTGTAGTGAAATCTCAAGCATTCGCACTCAAAACTCCAACATAAAATGGCTTCCAGGTCAGAAATAAAAATGTCAGAAACAGGCGAGAAATCCGGTGAGATTAATATCTAACCAAACAGGCGACAATATGCCTATGGATAGTTAAAGAAAGCTGGTAGTGTCAAACATTTGTTCATACCAGAAGCACTGCTCCAAGTAAGCAGAGCACTAAACACCTGTCATATACTTGTCTATAGGGAAATGCAGCGCTGGCTGGTAGTAAAAGCTCTCTGGATCAGAGGACAGGGTGGACTTAAAAGGAGTGATTCTGCTGAAAAATGTCCGTCCAGTACACCTTATTATTTTCTACTGTATTTTCCCCCAATTTGACTACCATATATGATAGAAGAGATGCAGAAATGGTCCCATTTGCCCCAACAGTGAATAGTAACCTCTACAGTGCAGTGGCAGTTTGTTGGTCCATCTTATTTCCACCTGCCATAAACAGTCATATTAACCTGCATATAATGAATAACTGCATCCACTGAATATCTACTGTAAATTATTAATTACTTCCCTCTACACTAAAGCTGAAAAACAAACACTAGAGATACAACTAAAATATGTAAGCAAACCACTTTTTAAAGAATAGTTATTTAGTTTACACCATTCATGATTTAAAGCAACTGTTTTGAGATAAAACTAATGTCCTGTATTGTCCTGGAAGAAGAGTTTTATCTTTTATGTCTTTATTTTTTCTGTTTACTTGGATCGGTTTTCATCAACCAAATCTCTTCATTTCAAAAACATTTCCTGCCTCAAATGACTTTGTGATGGTGTAAACAGAACAGCTCATTTGGAAAGCCGTCAAGGTTGCTCACTCATTTACGCAGGCGAGTGCTGCCACCCTGTGGTGATCATGATCATTGCAGTAAATTTGGGAAAATAAAAAGTAATCATTTTTGACCTTAAAATATTTAATTTTCGATCGTATATGTTCAGCTCTAACTACCTTTCAGGTTCTCATACATGGATATAATCCCTCTCAGGATTAGAATGTCTGGTCGGATTAGCTGTTACTATATTAATCCACAGATTATTGTCGTGGCTTGTCAACAATGGCCACTTAATGTACAATGATGAAGGACAAGAATAAATTTATGTAAGATCTCGCAAGAGGAGGATGTTTAGTTTTATTCTTAGGTGTGGAACATTTGAGTGGAGTTTCAGTGCGTCTTTCCAATATGAGTCAGAACATTTTGTTCCCACATTTAGAAATGACTTTTAGATCTAAATTTTCCTTCAGTAGATTATTCGCTGGCAGTGTTGGCATTACTTACCCAGTCTGGTTACTTTTCAGGTTATTTTCAATGACCGACTGAGCTTCCCTTCAGAGCGGCTAAAGCGATATTTATCTCAGATTTGCAATAAGAAAACACAAACATCTCCTGAGAAAAAAATATATAGAAACTTTACTTTTTTGTATTTTGTATCACCAGAGGTCATTTCCTAAAACATTAAAAGTCCTTGAATCAGTGATTGGCTGGGATAAATATAAATATTTATATTATAAATGTTTATATTTATAAAATAAATATGTTATATTTATATAATCTTCAGTGAGATTTTGTTTTTTGAATTAGGATATATTTTTGAGTGAAAATGTGACAATATGAAGCCAAAGACTTTTTTTTTAGTACACTGAAGTTTAATATTTTTATAACAAAGCAAAAAGAAAGTGAACTTAGTTTACATTTGTACTCCACAATAAGTGTTGGACAGAGGGATTGATAAATTTCACAGTTAATGAAAGACTTGAGTTGAAAATGCAAACATTGTGTGCATTTTGTTTAAACACACATAGTAAACAAAGAAAAATTACAATATATAGATTCATCAGCATCTAAATATGCAACATTTACAAGCAAACTTGTGTCAGACTCCCGATTCCCAGAAGAAAACGTAAAGACATCAGTGAAAACACTGACTAAAGTAAGACCCTTAGGAAAATTCAATTCCAGATAGCCACACAAAAAAAATCTAAATCCCTCAGCTGAACTGCTCTCATGTTCAAATATCAAATGACTGAATTTCAAACACGGATAGATGCCTCATCAGAAGAATGATCGACGTTTAAGACCAAATCTATACCTTTATATTCTCAACAGGGAATCGATGGTATTCCCACAAAGATTGGGAAATAAAAGTAAATCCAGTGAGTGACAGTAAGCAGATAATGGGTATCGCCACTCATATAAAGGGGTCAGAAGAATCAATTGTTTAAATTTTGTTTACAATAATTTCACTCAAGTCGAAGAAAATTGAAAACTAAAAAGCACTCAAAAAAAAAAAGCAAAATTTATACAAATGTTTTTTTTCCTCCCTTCAAAGAGACCCCACGTAAAGGTTCTTCTCTCCCCTTCAGTAAAAACAAACACGAGCCGCCAGGCGAGGCTCGTCAGGAAAACTACTCTGAATCCGTCCTATGACTTGCAGCTGCAACCATCTTAGTGTTTGCTGTCTGCTGAGGCGGAGCGGGAACGCGAGCGAGATCGGGAGCGGGATCTGGAGCGAGCCTTGCCGTTTTCAGCGGGAGCCGGAGAGCGGGACTTAGAGCGAGATTTGGAGCGGGATTTAGAGCGGGATTTAGAGCGAGACTTGGAGCGGGATTTGGAGCGAGACTTGGAGCGAGATTTGGACTTGGATGGGGAATTAGCCGCAGGCTTGCTCCCTCCAGACGTCTTCTTCTCTGGGGTGCGGCTGGGAGATCTGGAGCGGCTCCTGGAGCGGCTGCGGCTGCGGCTCTGGCTCCTGGAACGGCTCCTGGAGCGGCTTCTGGATCTGCTCCTGGAGCGGCTTCTGGAGCGAGAGTAGCTGCGAGAACGGCTCCTGTTGGTGGAACGGAAACGACAATGATTATGTAACGACGGCCACATTTTCACCTTAGAATTAAAAAAAAAAAAAAAAGGTGTCTCACCTCCTGCTGTCCTCAAACATCTTCAGCTTGCGCCCATTCAGCTCTGTTCCATCAAGTTTGGAGATGGCGTTCTTCATATCGTAACGAGATGCAAACTCAACCACCCTGCATTCAAACCAATAGTGAGTCATACATAGTTTAGACATAATAACAACAACAACAAAAAAAGTGAAACAACTTAACTCACCCTTCATTTTTAGTGGGTCTGTGTGCGTCCACAAAGGTAACTTCACCTGCCTTTCTCATCAGGTCTTTAAGGTCCTATTTCAAGAGTACAACACTGACTTAGTAAGGGAATTAGACACGAAGCGTCACAGAGAGCCTTCTCGAACCTGGAACTTAAGAAATTACCAAAAAATAAAAACATCAAACAGAAACATGAGTAACCCATTTCTAAACACATCTGTATCAGATCCTATTCTAGAGGGCGTGTAAACAAGAGAGCCATAAAAATCATCTCAGGACAGGTTTTGCCCTTTTCTGCTACAGAAACTAAAATTTACTGCTTTCAACTTGTTAATTTAAAGACCACATTAAGCCTTACAGTGAAACACTTTACAGAAAACAGGCAAAACTTTTGAGGAATTTGTAAGTCAAATTTGTGTAGAAGTTTGTGGGATAAACAGATTGTGTATGGAATTTAAGATAAAAATGTCTAATTTCTTTTACTTTTCTTTTTTTTTTTTAAGTAAAAGTTGGGACTTTTTTTTTACATTTACCAAATGACTTTAAAAAAGGGGGTCAACTGTTTACAAGATTCCCTTTCGAGACTAAATCTCCACCCTTCTACCTCCCGCTATCAAAAAGAATAATAATAATAAAAAACCCAATCACATGAGTTTTATGCTACTTACCGCTCCAAACCAAGGTAGATAATACCATAGAGCCACTTGTCCAAATAGCAAATGGGAACCAATGCAGTGTTAAGCCCTTGAGAAACGCCCTCGAGAAATGCTCTCAGCCTTGCATCAGCATCCGGCCTCCTCAAGTAAGGAACCACCAGAGAGAAAGTAGGGGGGTGTGATGTGTGCCCGACTCAACACCCCCCCAGCTCCACCAGCCACAGAAAGAGCCCCAACAGAGACTGTGGGAGGCCGTGGATTTGAGGGGGGCGTGGGGGTTCCTGCAGCCGGGAACGCCAGCCCACAGAACCTCCAGACTGTGGCTACGGCCCTCCTAAGGCTACCGTATCCTGCGCTAGACCACTTTCACCGCTACGGGGGACCAGCCAAGACTTTAGACCGGCAGCAACTGCGTGTAAGGAAAGGCACCAGATGGACACTATTCAGAAAAAAAACAACCAGCAGAGGGCGCTACATACTTCTGACCCCCCAAGTGGAGGATGTCTAGTTACCTCTGATATACAAAACAGGAAACCATAC